TAATTATTAAACATTTAAAGGGGGTGCGGTGGGAGGGAGGGAAAGGAAAGGGGCCTGGGGGCGGGGGAAATGTTATTTTAATTTAAAAGGAAAAACAATTTAAATGTATCGATTCCATTTAATAATAAAAAAAAAAAAAATTTGTTTTTTTTTTTTTTGTTCAAATAAAAATTATTTTAAATTTTATTTATTTATTTATTTGTTTTTTTTTTTAGTTTCCATTTATTTATTTATTTATTTATTTTTTTTCCTATTTCGTTTTTTTTCATTTTTATTTAATAATAAATAAAGTTGGAAGGAAGGAAAAAAGGAAGGAAAAAAGTTTTATTTTTATTTTTTTTATTTCCCCTCCCCCACCCACCCACTTTTCTATTATTATTATTATTATTATTATTATTATTATGTTTAGAAAAAAAAGTTGCGGTTGAAATTGTGTTGTTGGAATTGTATACAAAAAAAAAAAAACCTGAGCCCCCCTTCCCCCCAAAAAATTATTTTTTTTTTTTTTTAAAAAAAGAAAGTTGGAGGAAAAGTGAAAAATATTTTCTTTTTGTTGAAACATTTATGATAAATATCAATAATATATATGTGAAACATGTCGTTGAAAAAAAAATTTTTTTCTTTTATGTTCCATCGTGTTATAGAATATTATTCAAAGATTAATAATGGGTAGGGGAGAGGAGGGGAAAGGGGGAAAGAAAAATACAATTTTCGGTGTGGGGGGGGGGCGAGTTCATGGTTTACGGGTAAATCTTTTTTAATATTACATCACACGAATATTATTTTTTCTCCATATTTTTTTTCACATATTAGTTTTAAGATAAAACAAAAAATTTTTTTTAGTAAATCTAACCTCGTGTTACTACCACCACTACCATCACTACCACCACCACCACCACCACTGCTAATAATAATAATGATAAATATAAATAAAAAATAATTCGCATATTTAGTACAAATTTATATTTATATTTCGGCATTTTCTTTTCTTTTCTTTTCTTTTATTTATTTTTTCCACATGTAAATCTTTTGCTAAATGTCGAGTAAATATTCAAAACGTTTCCACGGATTTAAACACACATCAACCAATGATAATATTATTTATGGGTTTATTTATTATTATTATTATCATTATTATTATTTTTTTTTTTTTTATTTCTCGTCTCGACATTTCTTAACATGTCAAAAATTTAAATATTTTCTCTTTCGAATTTATATATATATATATATGTGATGAAATGACAACCGAAAGAGATTTATTCTTTAAACATTATTATTATTATTATTATTATTATTATTATTATTTTGAATTGTTTGCAATAAGAATTAAAAACTTTTTTGTTGTTGTTGTTGTTGTTTGTATTTTCTTCAATAGATTCGAATTATTTAATTATTTGTGTAAATATTTTAACCGTAATTTGATTTTATCACCATAAAAAATTTTTATTTTCAATAAGTTAAACTTATAAAAAATAAGTATATCCGGTTTAAGTATGTACATAAATACATAAGTTTCAAATAAAAAGTTTGTAAAAATTGGAGGGAGGGGGGGGGGGAAAACCACTCGTGAAATTTATATGAAAAACAAAAAAAAACTTTTGTCAAAATTACTTGGGAAATTTTTTTCCAGATTATTATTATTAAAAAGAAAATTTTTTTATCTATATGTTACTAACGTGAGTGACCCCTAAACCTTTAAACTTTGACCTTTAGTTAATGATATTTGTAATTTTTTTTTATTTTTGTAAAATACCGGTGTAGTTTTTTTAAATGATACACGCCATTAATGATAAAAAAAATTTTAATTTTTTAAAAGGGCGGCTCTTATCATTGTTTTTTTTAAATTAAAAATAATAATAATAATAATAATAATAATAATAATAATTTATTTTTCCCCTTATTTGTTTTTATTTACGACGACAGATACATTTATATCACATTCATACATAACATTTTTGTGATTTTAAACATGAATGTTTTGTCGTTGTCTGTCTGTCTGTCATTTATTTAATAATTTGTTTTATACATTAAATAAAAAAAAAAAAGACAAACGACAAACAGACAAACGACAAAAAACAAGACAATGCGAATTTACACATTACGTACCTATCAATCTACCTACTTACTTTATGAGGGTATTTAATTTTTTTTTTTTGCAATTTAACGTTTTTTTTAAATCAATGACGTCATTCCCTTTGATATATTATCATTATCATTACGTTCAATTTTTTTTTATTTATTTAAAGTATACAATGTACAATAACCCACGAATTTCATTATATTTTCCAAAAAACAATCGCAACGTTTTCAAGTGATGAAATTTTAGTATCAATTTATCTCTAAATGCGTACGACGCATTTACACACACGCACACACACACACACACATTCGGTTATAGGGGCGGTTCTTACGTAAAGTGGGGGGGAGGGGGGATTAAATTATTTCCCTGATTTAATCATCACCTGTTTCTATAGCAGCGTCGTAGTTTTAATGTCATTCAAACCAATAACACAAGTCAATTAAGTAAAATTAATAATACATGTTTAAAAAAAAATACATCCAAGAGGATGACGACAACATGAAAGGGAAAATAATAATAATAATAATAATAATAATAATAATAATAATAATAATAATAATAATAATAATAATAATAATAATAATAATAATAATACCTTTTTAAAACGATTTATAACTTTTAATCATGAATGAACCATCATCAATTAATTTTACTAAACTTGACATTATCACAAAAATAAGAGTTTAATCGATAAAATATTTTTAAAAAAAAAAAAACTAATAGTTAGCAAAAAAAATGTTAATTTTTACCTTTTTTTTGGGGGGAAAATGATGAATTTTCTTTTTTGTTTTCCCCGGTCTTATCACTCTAATACGTATTCAAACACTAAAATTTTCCAGATAGGAAAATTAGATGGGAAAAATTAAATCGAGATACTAATATAATTAATAATAATAATAAAACGTTAAAATAAATTTTTAAAAAAATTTCGTTGGTTTTTCAAAAAAAAAGAAGAAATTTTATTACGCGTATATACAAAAACGAACGTACGAACCGAACGGGATAAAATAAAGTTAAAGTTAAAAAAATTAAAAAAAAAAAAAAAAAAATTCTCAACGAACGTTTTTTAATATAAACTCGAACGTACAACGTTTCGACTCTTACTGACGTCGGTTGGTAAAATTTTTCCTACCCTATTCCAATTCTTATGGTGGAAGGGAAAAGAAAAAAAAAGAAAAAAAATTTTTAACCAAGCCATTTATCGCATGGTTATTTTATTTTTATTTTTTTTTTTATTTTTTTGTAGCCAGCATGAAAATTCTCCGCATGTGGAAAAATATTCAACTTTTCTTTTTTTTTTTTTTTTTTTTACATGATAAAACCTCTCAAAATATGATTTTTACCATTCGGAAAAGGTTTTTTTTTTCCCTCCATCCCCGTTTTTATTGACCTATAAATAAAAATTTAATGGCAATTAATAATGATGCTTTTTTTTTTTTTAATATTGAAAAAGGAATAATAAAACTAATGGGGGAAAAATCCTAAAAAAAAAGAAAAATTAAATTAAAAAAAAAAAGGAATCCATCGTTACATTTTATGTAATTTGAAAAATAAAATTTTTTTTTAATTCTTAATTAAACTACCATTAAAAATTAACTAACTGTTAATTACATTTAGATTTACTCAAGAGAATTTAATGTAAATTTAAAATTAAAAATAATAATAATAATAATAATAATAATAAAGTTAAAATAAATTAAAAGTCTGCTGCTGTGTTTTTTAAAATGTCATACTAAATTTAAAGTTTAAAGTGTTTTTTAAAAAAAGGCGGGAAATTTTCCTTCGCCAAGGTTTACATATGAAAAGGTTAAAAATATTTTCATTATTTAATAACCTTTTTCAAATAGTTTTGGCGCTAATTATTGTTAATAAAAAAAAATACTTTTATAGTTTTTACTTTTGCCCCCCTCCCCCCTTTTTTGGGGGGGGTTAAATTCATTGAATTCTTTTAAACTTTTTAATTTTTTTTTTTTTTTTTTTATTCTGAGAAAGTTGTTAAATTTCTTTTTTTTTTTTTTTAATTTTCTTTTTAAATTCATTCCCGTAATTGAATTATAACCCCTTTTTTTTTTTTTTTTTTTCTCTTTAAATTATGATTTCCGTTTGGTTTTAATGGTCGGTTTTAAAATGTCGACTCCATTACGTATTTAAAAGTGTTCGAATATAATTCGTCGTGTCAAGTTTTATTACGGTTGGCAATAGTGATGTCAATAAAGATGGCTCCACGTTTAAAAATTTTAAATGTTTTATTCGAGGTATTTTATTTATATATATTTTTAAGTTTATATTTTTTTTAAAATTTTTTATGGAATAAAATACGCGCAATATTTTAAAATGCTTTTTATTTTCATTATTTAAATAATGCATTCGGTTTAATTTTGATAAATATAAATTGTGAAAATAATTTCAAATGTGTTTGTTACTTGACATGTGTAACGTTAATAGAAAAATTTTTGCTCACGTTTCGTTACTGTGTCAATTTGTTTCCAATTATATAATAAATTCATGTTATTTTTTATTTTTTGCAATTTTAGAGGTTATTAAAATTGCCAAATGAATCCACAGGGTATTTATATGGTACTGATGATGATTCTTCAATATATTTGATTGGTTTGGCTGTGCCTGAGAATGATAACTCAGCAAATCCTAATTATGCTTTTATTGAAAATATTAGTTTATACTTGCCGTCCGGAGTGCACGCATGTGGAATATTTAATGTAGGAAATGGAGTATCATCGAATGATATCGATGAAACTTTGTCAAATGAATTTGGAAAATTTCCAGTGGTTTGTGTCCTAATTAGTTTTTTTTTTATTTAAATTCAATATTATTATAAGTTTGATAAATTGTTTTGTTATAATACAGGTTATCAATGTAGATACTAAGCTTCAAAAAGTTATTCCCAAGTTTTATGCAGCAAATGATGATGAAAATGTAGATTATGATCTTATTAATCAGGATGATTTGACAAATTCACATATGTTAATGAATTTGTCTGCTTCGTTTCCAGTTATTTTTTATTTAGATTTTAATTCTGCTGAATCGACATTACTTGATTTAGAGAAAAAGGTTTGTATATTCTTTAAAAAATTTTTTTATGATGAACATATTGTTGATCTAATGAAAAATTATTAATTTTTCAATTGTCAAAAACAAAATATGTCTTTCTAAATAATTTACATGTTTAATATTGTAGCTCTTGTCAGGTGCTGCAGCATTTCAATTTGAAGAATCAAGCATTTATATTTTAGGAAATAAGGATGTTAATGTAATTGGTATATCACCACAAAATCCAGTTTCCGAGTTACTGAAGCACATACAGCTGTCTGATGAAATTAAAAAAAATAAAAACACAGTAAGTTTCAAATTAAATTATCAGTCTTAAATTTTTTAGGTATTATTTATTTATTTTTTTTTTCACTTTTTATCAATATTGTATTTCTTTTCAACTTTTTGCATGTTGATTGATATTTACAAATTTCATTAAATAAATCATCTTTTATTTTCGATTGATAATAAGTTTTAAGCAAATTTAAAATATTTTTTTTTCCATATGATAGGTAATGTTAAAAGTAGGACTTTACATCAATCAAACGGAACAAGAAGGACTACCTAAAATTGCACCTTACATAAAATATGTGAAAAGTAAGTTTTGTTTAACTTTTTCATTAAAAACATTAATAAGTAAAACTATAGTTGAATCATATTGAATGAATTATTTACCTAAAGTTTCAATTTAATCCAACATGATTGCTCTGTTAAATTAAATTTTGGCTGCAAAATTTATGTTCAAATGTCGATTTTGATTTAACACATTATCGATTGAAATGCATATTATATAACATTGCATATTGATTTTTTTTTTATTTCAGAGGAATTCCGACACGTCGAAATTCAATTAAACATAGATTCTTTGATAATGGTTTCGAAAAATTTATCAGTTACACATTTATACGAGTATCTTTTAACTGGGATTCAAAGGAATTTTACATTAAATAAAAATAATTTATTACATCAGTTGAAAAAGGAAAATACGTTTGGTATTTCGTATCCGAAAACTTACCATTTTTTGCCTTCGAATTTAGGACATTTTGTTTCAGTTGTGTACTCGTCAAAACAAACTTCAGATGAATTAAGTGAGTGACATTTTTATTAGTACTTGTAGTCTTAGTAGCATAAAATTTTAAACGTGAGTAAGTCACCTTAACGCTAATGCTTTTTTATACGCAGAAAAAATTCGAGAAAATCTTCACAGTTCATTTTCTCTGCCAATGGACAGACCATTGTTTCGTCAGGGAAACGCTCACATTTTTAATAAATCAAACAAGACAGAAAGCGATAAACTTTTAAATCCTCATGAAAAATTAGGTGCAAGTGGAGTACCTGAAGGCGAACCATATTTTGTCCAAGGGAAATACGCTTATTATCATTACATGCAAGACAATATGGACGACAATGGATGGGGTTGTGCATACAGATCCCTTCAAACTATTTTTAGCTGGTTTCAGTTAGTTTATTATTTGAAATAAAAATAATTTGAAAATATTTTTTGTTATTAAAATTAAAAAAAAAAAAATACGTTTTTAGATTTCAAAGCTACACAAACGCACCCGTTCCTACTCATAGAGAAATTCAAGAGTGTCTTGTCAATATTGGTGATAAACCTGCATCGTTTGTTGGTTCTAAACAATGGATAGGTTCTACCGAGGTATTTTCTTTTCTCTCTTTTTCCATTTTCTATTATTATTATTATTATATAATATAATTAAATTTTAAAATTATCTAGGTGAGTTTTGTTTTGGAAACGTTGCTCGGAGTCACAAGTAGAATCGTTCGAGTTAATTCTGGAGAAGAAATGACAATGAAAGGTGGAGAATTGAGCCATCATTTTAAAACTCAAGGAACTCCCATAATGATCGGTATAAAAGACATAAATCAAAAGAAAACACATTTAAATACGAATTTACTAATTATTATTATTATTATTTTAGGGGGTGGCGTATTGGCTCACACGATATTGGGAGTCGACTACAATAAAAATACGGGAGATATAAAATTTTTAATATTAGATCCTCATTACACGGGATCCGATGACATATCAGTTATAATAAAAAAGGGTTGGTGCGGATGGAAAGGACCCGAATTTTGGAAAAAGGATGCTTTTTACAATATGTGTTTACCTATTGCACCTAAATGCGTTTGAAAAAATAATTTTGATATGATTCCTCTTATTAAAAAAAAAATATATATATATATATATATGAATGTTACATAAATTATTAATTTATCAATGTTTTCAATTTTTAAATTGTTGTCTTTATATATATATTTTTCTAAATATTATTCCATATGAAAAATTTAAATAATTTTTTACAGGAAAATTTTAAATTATAAAAAAAAAAGCAGAAGAAAAACTTATCATCGGAATGTGTAAAAAAGTTTAATCAATAAAAATCATAAAGAAAATTATTAAAATTGTATTTTTAATACAGGTCGACTAACATAATAATAATATATATTAATATCTATGTTGTTAACTAAGTCTAACCTAGAAAAGAGAAAATAAAAGGAAATATAATTAATAAAAAATCAATGTGTGTGTGTGTGTGTGTTAATAAGATATTATGGAAAACCATATATGGACAGTGTTGAGAGTGGAAATGACCTTTTGGAATCAACCAATAACGTTTTTATTTTCCGTATTTTTATACGATGACTAATCCCATTAAATTTAAAAAAAAAAAAAAAAATTGTTCATTTGTTCAAATAATAATAATTATTATTTTTACAGAAAGGTTCTCATGTACCTGAATTTATTTTTTTTTTTTATACCTTAATCGTGTGTGTTTAATCGTATTAATTTTTTATAGGTACTCGTTCGTTAACATAGGAAAAAAATTAAAAAATCGCAGGTGTGATGACGTAATTTATACCGCCCTGGCAACCGCGGCCCACAAATATTCACCAACCGTTGTCGTCTGCATCGTCATTATATTTCATTTCAGTGTGTTTAAAAATCCGCGGGTTTCGTGTGCCTTAAATTTCTTATTATTTAATTTTAAAAAAAATTTACGGTAAGATTTATTTTTTTTTTTTATTTTAAAATATTTTTTACCCAAAAGTAAAATAAATAATTTAATTTATTTATAGTAAATAAATTTTTTTTATTAAATATTTATTACTCGTAATTATTGTAAAGTAATTTTTTTAATTTTTTTTTACTTTTTACGATTTAAGTTTAGGATGGCTTCATTGAATCATAATTATTATTATCATTATTTTTAAAATAACCAAAATGTGAAAACTTTTTTTTATTAATTTACCTTGAAATAAAAAAAAAAAAAATCAAAAAAATGTGGGCGTTAATCTTATACTTATTCTATAACCAATTTAATTCGTTTGTGTGTCTTTTTTTTTTCCCATCCGCCATATTTTTTTTCGAATTCAGTTTCGATAACGATTTTTTTATTACGACCTAATTTTTCAAACGAATTAAATTAAAATATGGCAACCAAAAAAAAAAAAAAAAGAAAATCCGAGACTAAATGTGCATGTCACATGAAATAACAGCAACGTTGCTTAAATCAATATTTTCCTTTTTTTTTTTTTTTTTTTTTTTTAAGAAATGGGTTTCACACAAAATCCATGGACTCCGACTAAAAGAAGAGGAATGATCGGAGCTGAATTTACGAGTCCGGGTCCAGCATGCGTAACACTACCAAGTCTTATGGGACAAACGAGTATAGACTCTAAAAAAGGTAAAGCTCCGGCTTTTTCTTTTGGAAGTAGACACGGAAGTAAAAACGATAGTCCCGGACCTGGTCCCGGACAATATAACGTCACAGGATTGAGTTCTAAAGGTTCGTTATTTTTCCCAAAACACACTTACTTTAACATTAAATTAAATAAAACTAATTAGTTAATTGATTTTATAATTAGGTAAAGACACTCCTCCAGCCGCAACACTTCATTCCAGACCTTAAAAATTTAAAACAAATGCAACTCCTGCTCCTGGCGATTACAATCCTGAAGAGCAGTCAAAGTAATACACGATTCTTCTCCAAAATATACATTCGGATTAAAAACTCAAGCTGAAAAAATCAATATGACACCTGGTAAGTGTCAAACATCATCATTATTATTATTTTAACTTCATTACAACATCCTAACCGTTACGTTTTTTTTTTTTTTTTTTTTTGGATATATATAAATAAAATAACCGATTAAAAAAATAAATTAATTTAATTACAAGTAATCTGAGCCGTTCGTTTAATGGAAAACAATGGGTAAGCCTCATACACTAAAAGCACGTGTATTTTTCCTTTTTTTATTTTAATATTTGCACTAACTTATTTATTAATTATTTTATAACCGGTACTTTTAAATTAGGTTATTTAAATGATTTTTTTTTATACAAATTTTAGGCACTTGAGTAAAAATGTAATACTTAATTTTCTACTAAAAAAAAACAAATTTAATATTTATTACCTTGTTTAATAACTATTACTATTAAATAAATTAATTATTGCATGGAGTTATCTGCAAATACATATAAATTAGTCAAATTTAAAAATATGTGTAATAACAATGAATGAAGAAAAAGAAATTATTTTATACAAATTAAATTTTTTTTTTTTAAATATTAATCCAAGAAAAAGTGTTTGGTTAAATTTTAAATAAATGAACTGAAACATGTTCCAGCGCCTGGAGCGTATAGCCCAGAAAGGGCCGTCACTGCATTAGACGCAACTCCTAAATATACGTTTGGAATGAAAACTCAATTAGAAAAACCGAGTGATGTTCCTGCTCCGGGTGCTTATAGCCCCGAAAGAGCCGTCACAGCTTTGGACTCGACTCCAAAGTATACATTTGGAATGAAATGTCAAATAGAGAAGCCGAGTGATGTACCAGCTCCGGGAGCGTATAGCCCTGAAAGAGCTATTACCGCTTTAGATTCGACTCCGAAATATACTTTTGGAATGAAAACTCAAATAGAGAAGCCGAGTGACGTACCCGCTCCAGGTGCTTATAGCCCAGAAAGAGCTGTCACGGCATTAGATTCGACTCCGAAATATACATTCGGAATGAAATGTCAAATAGAGAAGCCGAGTGACGTACCCGCTCCAGGTGCTTATAGCCCAGAAAGAGCCGTCACCGCCTTGGACTCGACTCCAAAATATACTTTCGGAATGAAAACGCAAATAGAGAAACCGAGCGACGTACCAGCTCCAGGTGCCTATAGCCCAGAAAGAGCTATTACCGCTTTAGATTCGACTCCAAAATATACATTTGGATTAAAAACTCAATTAGAAAAACCGAGTGACGTTCCAGCACCTGGTGCTTACAGCCCCGAAAAAGCCATTACCGCTTTAGATTCGACTCCGAAATATACATTCGGAATGAAAACTCAATTGGAGAAACCGAGTGACGTACCGGCTCCAGGAGCATACAGCCCAGAAAGAGCTGTCACGGCATTAGATTCGACTCCGAAATATACTTTTGGAATGAAAACTCAAATAGAGAAGCCGAGTGACGTACCAGCTCCGGGAGCGTATAGCCCTGAAAGAGCTATTACCGCTTTAGATTCCACTCCAAAATATACATTTGGAATGAAAACTCAATTAGAAAAACCAAGTGACGTTCCTGCTCCAGGAGCGTACAGCCCCGAAAGAGCCATTACCGCTTTGGATTCGACTCCTAAATACACATTCGGAATGAAAACTCAAATAGAAAAACCTAACGAAGTGCCGGCACCAGGTGCTTATAGCCCCGAAAGAGCTATTACCGCTTTGGACATGACTCCAAAATATACTTTCGGAATGAAAACTCAAATAGAGAAACCTAACGAAGTGCCGGCACCAGGTGCCTATAGCCCGGAAAAAGCTATCACCGCCTTGGACTCGACTCCGAAATATACATTTGGATTAAAAACTCAATTAGAAAAACCGAGCGACGTTCCAGCACCAGGTGCTTATAGCCCTGAAAGAGCTATTACCGCTTTGGACTCAACTCCTAAATATACTTTCGGAATGAAAACTCAAATAGAAAAACTTAGTGATACGCCAGGTACATTGGCTTCTTCTTTTCTTTATATATTATTTTGTATTGAAGCTTATATTTTTTTGTGTTCATGTAAAAAAAAAAAAATTTTTTTTTATTCTTCCATTAATTATTATTATTTGTTTCAGCTCCGAATATGTATTGTCCTGAAAGAAATATTTGTGCCTTAGACGGTGCTCCTAAATATTCTTTCGGTGTTAAATCACAAATAGAAAAACCAAATGACACTCCTGCTCCCGATGCTTATAAAATAGAACGATCCAATACGATTATTTTGTACCACAGATCTCCAAAATATACATTTGGTATACGACCAGCCGACGAAAGGCCAAACGATACACCTGGTATGACATTATTTATAAGTTGGTCAAAGGTTTTGAAATATTAAAAGAAAAATTTTTGTTATCACTTTTGCACTTTTTTTTGTTTGTTTGTTTAGCTCCAGGTGCTTATTCACCAGAAAAAGCAGATCAGATATTAGAAACACAACCTGCACACAGTTTTGGTATTAAACATTCTCCATATATAGCACCATTAATGCAATAATAAAATTTTATCATAATTATAATTATTGGAATTAACATCTAATCGGTAAGTAAATTATTATTATTATTATTATTATCATTCAATGTACAAGGCTTCAAAGTGCTTCATGTCCTGTGAGTAATTTAAATTTTAATTATCATTTAATAATCTGGAAAAATATTTTTATTAAAAAAAAGATTTATCAGCTCATCTGGAGAGTTCATAACCCTGTTTTATATGTAAAAAAATTATTATTATTATTTTTTCCAGCACCTAATATATATAACATGCCACCGGTGTTGGGAAAGACAAGAGAAGGAAACAAATGTTCGGCTCCAGCATTTACAATGACCTCTAGGCATAAAAAATTACGTGATGATAGGTTATCAGTGCCTGGTCCTGGAACCTATGATAATTCAATGCCGGATTCATATAATAATAAAATAAGATTTCCAAGTTATTCAATAAGTTCCAGGTTTAAATTACCAACGGATGAAGATTTAAAACCAGGTCCTGGAGCACATTCTCCAGAAAAGGTTGGATTGATTACGACTTAAAATAAAAAATTATTATTCCAATTTATTAATATTAATTCCATGTTTTTCCATCTTAGGTAATATCATCGCAAAAATGTTCTCCAAGTTACACATTCGGAATAAAACATTCTGTTTATATAACAAGTTTTACAGAGCCCAACACCATACCTAGAATATACTTTTAATAACTTTAATAATTAAATTTTATTTTCATTTATTAATCATTTCAAATAGATTTCGAACAGAGGAAAGTATCAATTTATAACTCACAATAATTTTTCTCTAACTCAAAATAATTAACAAAAATTTAACATTTCTTTTTTTTTTTATTTATGTTTTATATTATAAATTATTCATTATTTTCTTTATTAATTTTTATTTTAAATAATGTTTACCCTTTGTTATTGTTAACTTTATTTTATTTTATAAGAAATACTAAAAACTATTTGTAATAACAAATAAAAAAAAAATTATTGTTATCATTTTTTATTTGTTAAATTAAATAAAATTTTAAATTGAGTTTTAATTATTGTTTTTTTTTTTATTTCGTTTAATATTTGATTACATATAAAATATATATATTTTTTTTAAGTAGGTTGATTTCTAAATATGGTAGACTTGTTCTAACAAGAATTTCCAATCTTGTATGAAAAAAAAAAAAAAAAACTTTTTACTCTTTTTAAATATTTAGTTTATAATGTAGGCTGTTATGTAAGTCATTTTTTATTCAATAACTTTAACGTTAGGTAAAAGCAACAACTCAAGTAAAAGTAATTTTTTTTTTTATATTACTAATATAAAACTTTTGTAAAAAAGAAACATCCTAAAACTTATAAAAAGAATAAAAGATAAAAAAAATTTACATTACCGGGGAATAAATACTATGGAATATGTAAATAAAAAACGTCCGTGTGTCTTTATCAAACCGAATAGAGTAATTTAAATAAACTTAAAATATAATTTTATAATTAAATTAGATATTATTCAAAAAAATAATCAATCGAAAACTATTTAAAACTTGATAAAGTTGCTTAAAAAAGATTAAAGCTTCAAAAAATTCTAATAAAGATTAATTTGACAATTTGTTTTTTTTTTGAAATAGGAAAAGTTGGCAGCATTGTACGTAATCAATAACAAAAATGGAGGAGGATGAATTAAGATGTCTTGAAACGGAACAAGATTTTAAAAATATTTCCAACATACTTAAAACATTTGTTTTAAATGTAAGAATTTTCTATTCCTGGTAGCCCAAAAAACTATTTCTTTTTTATACAATCATTTATTTGTTATTAATTAATCTAAATTTGTGTTTAAAAAAAAAAATTTGCCACACAAAATTTTTAACTGTCATTTTCCACTGTACCTAAAACTATAACCATTGGTGTAACCAAAAAAAAAAAAAAATTTATTTGTTTTGTTTATTTTAAAGTTAAAATTTTTCTTTTTCTATTTGTGCAAAAGTATATTGTCTTTAACTAATTGTTTTTTTTATTTCGTTATTATTATGAAAGATTGAAATATTTTTTTTTTTTTTTTAACAGAACTCTCAAGTATTTACTTTTGACTCACTTAATAAAAACAATAGAAGACAAAGATTATATTCTACTTTATTTAAATTGCTTAAAAATGATGAAGCTCATGAATGTCATAAAGAATGTTTGGAATGTTTAAGATTGCTAAGGTACAATTTCAAACTTTTAATTTTTCAATTAATTAAACATAATCTCGTTAAAAACTAATGACATTGATTCATATATTTATTTATATTTTCAGTAGAGACAAAACAGATTTAAATGATGCTCTAGATGAGCAAAAGATTGAAGTTCTTTTGAAATTATCATCGTTATATACAAAAGATGAAGCGATTAAAAAAATTAATGAAAAAAACAAAGTTGATTTGATTGTAGCCGCTTTAAAAGCCTTATGTAATATAATTTATAACAGTTCAGTTGCTGTAACCTATGTTTCTAATTCACATGCTGCCGAGGGTATTCTTATGAGGTTACAAATGATAAAAGAGAAAAAAATATCTCCTGCAATTAAACTTTTCGATATAAAACTACTTTTTTTATTAACTGCACTGGCACCAGAAATTAGGTATTATTAACAATGGTTATATTTTACTTACTTTAATATTTCATTATTCCTTCATTTTATTATTATTATTATTATTACAATTCTTACTGATATTTGTAATGGATTGGGGAATAAATTTATTTCAGACCGAAACTAAAACATGAATTTCATGGTCTCACATATTTGATAGAAGCTTTAGATTTAATTTTAAAGGAAAGTCCTTTGAAAAATAAAGACACTACTTATTATTCACTATCAGTGAGTACTACCATAAAGTAACTTATTTTATTTAAAAAAAAAAAAAATAAACAATAGCGAATAAGATTATTTGACAATGAAAAATTTTTGTAAAAGAAATTTTCGAGATTAACATAAGGAGTTATGTAACTCATAATTCCATCAATAACTATTGTTTTTTTTTTTTTTTTTTTTAAATCTTAACTTATGAATTTTAGTTTTCACCTAAAAAAATTTACATTTTTATTATTTTTCCAGATTCTTTTCTGTTTCAGATTTCCATGCCCTTCCAAAATCCTAATTTGAGAATACCTTATATCCATTTTTTTAACAAACCAAAATAAATTAACTAAAGGGTAGCTGTTAATATTAAATCCTCTTGATGCATGCTTACTTATTAAAAATAGGTAAAATGAAAATTCATTTTTCAGGTTTGATAGGCTAGAAAGAATGTTTTTGTTATATTTAAGGTTTCGATATTTCTTATCGAAACATATCTAAAATGTTTGCTTTGCTTTTTTAGGATGACGATGTGGACTTGTGTTGTGAAATTCTCAAAGTTATTTTTAATCTTATGGTAAAAAATGTTATTAATCAAGTTTCTTTGATTGACGAAGATGAAGAAGAAGCATTATTTATTAGACTGACATCTTCTGTCCACGACCTTCTCTTAGCTGAAACATCTTCATCGAAACAATTAGAGCTGAGAAAGTAAACAAATGAGTTTTGTCTGTCGCCATCACAATTAAAGTGTTTTTTTTTTTTTTTTTTTCATATTATTTCTTTTTTTAGTCATGTCGTAAATCTTCTTACTTGTATTCCTGTTAATTGTTATTCTCAAATGATGACTACAAATTCAGAAAATGTTTCGAAAGATTTAGTATGGGAGGGAAAAAACATGGAAGCCATTGAAGTTTTGTTGCAATTTCTCAATCAAAAACTATCATCAACGGAGGTAAGTTTTATATTAAATATTTTATTCTAATTAATTACTTTTTGTTTATACGGCATGAAGTTTTGTGACAGTGTAATTTTTCACTTACGTGTAAATACATTATTTTTGGGGGGAAAAAAACAAAATAAAATAAGTTTTAATGTTTTTAGAATTCAAGATCGAAACAAGAACTTTTATCTCCAATATTAACCGTCCTTTTTCAAATGGCCAAAAGAGAGAGAATAATTAGAAAGTATTTACGTCATAAAATTTTACCACCATTAAAGGACGTTATGAGTCGACCCGAAGAAGGGAATTCTTTTAGAGGAAAACTTTGTCGATTATTAACATCACCTTCTTCAACCGTAAAAGATCTCACTGCCGAATTTTTATACGTTTTATGTAAAGAAAATGGTAATTAATAATTTTACTATCATAAATTATTAACGGTTATTTGTAATAGCAATAATAATAATAATAATTATTAAAAGTATAAAATAAATTTTTATTTGAAACAGTTGGTAGAATGATAAAGTACACGGGTTACGGTAATGCTGCGGGTTTGTTTGCCAATCGTGGCATAATGTTTGGAGGATGCGGAACAAGAAATTCACAATCCAGTTATTCATCTGATTCAGATTCTGATACAGAAGAATACAGTAAATATTTTGACCAGTAAGCAAAATAAATGTTTTTCGTTAATTAATAGTTTTTGAACGACAACATTAAAAAAAAAAAAGGGTCTTTGGGTATTTTTCCCATCAATTATTTACTTTTAAAAACTCTAAACCTTTCTTTACCTTTCTGACTCGACGAGTACATTTAATTAAATTTTTACTCAATTCTTTGAATAAAATATTATTTTTAATGTAAACGATTTTTTGAATATGTACCCTCTTTTATGTATGACGTTGTAATTATCAATTTAAATAGAATTAATCCAGTTATTGGGTGCTACGAACCACATCGAACAAATCCAACGGAAAACATGACGGAAGAACAAAAAGAATACGAAGCCGTTAAATTAGCCAACATGCTCGATAAACTCACAAGGTAATTTTTTTTTGCTTTAATAATTTTTTTTTTTTTATGAGTTAATACGAGAAGTTTTTAATTTAAACGTTTTTTTTTTAGGGATGGAATAATTCAGCCATGTCAAGTCGGAGATGATGGCCGACCACAACCCATTCAACACGTTCTTCAACTCCAAGAAAATCTTCCCAATCAGCAAGTTAAAACAATTAAAAAAATGACTTAAGTACGTATATTGATGTCGATTAATTAAAAATCACCATGTGGAAATATTTATTTACCCCATTTTATTAATAATTTACAAAATAATAATAATAATAATAATAATATTAATAATGTATAAGTGTAATTAAAATACTAATAAATAATTATAATATATAAATATATTTAATGTAATAAAATAATCGTATTATTATTGAAAATAATTAATTATTTTTATATTAACCTTAAATTATTTATTAAGAAATTTAACGGGAAAAAAATAAAATTTAATATTTAATGATATTTATATAATTGTTTATTAGTAATAAAAAGTCCGCCATCACCGCCGCCGTTATTAAAACGTTTTTGAAATTCGGCGCTCTTTCTTTTGTTGTATATAGGAAAAATAATCATCCCTTATTCAGTTTCACAACAACCGAATTCCGAGTGTGTCACGTTAAATTTTCTTTTTTTTTTTTTTTTATAATTTTGTGTTTCGGGAAAAACGTTTTTTTTTTTTTCTTTCTTTCTACTCACTTTTCCGTTTAACCGAAAATTTATTAATTATAAAAAATATTTGTGTTTAAAATAAATTTTATTTAAACTTTTATAGTTTTTTTGAATGTCATCATTAATTAATTGGTGGAAAAGAAATTAGAATTTCAATTGAAAGGTAAGAAAAATTTTTAATTATTAAAATAATAATAATAATAATAATTAATAATAATTTAACGAATTTTTATAACTTTAATAGTTTATCTGTCTGACTTTTATTTTTAATAATAATTATTAAATTACTTTAATCAAATTAATTAAAATTTCATAATTGTATAATATATCTGGCATTCTTTGGGAAGAAGAAAAGAAACTTAAATTTTTATATATTTTAATAATTTATTTAAATAATTAATTAATAATTTTACATATATTTTAATACATAAAGAATTTTATATGGTCTGCTTTCTTTTTTCTTATTATGGAGTTAAAACTGGACTTATTGAATACAAAAACTTATTATAATTTTAAATAAAACTTATAAGATAAACTATTAAATTATTATAACCGTTTCAACCCCCCCCCCCAAAAAAAAAAAAAAAAAAAAAACAAATTTTTTTTTGAAAAAATGGTTTATTTATTGTCATAATCAATCAAATTTCTTTTTTACCATCTGATAATTTTCTTATTAAAAAAAAAAAAAAAAAACATTTTTTCAGGTGTTTACATACAATATGGAAAATTTAAATTTAAATTTTTCATTAAATTTTTTTTTGGGAATATTTAATGAAAATCCTTATATCCCTCTTCTTTTGTTTTTCTAACAACAACAACAACAACAACAACATAAAACAACCATTTTTAAATATTTTCTTGTTGAGTTATTGTTTTATTTGATAAATTTACCAAAAAAAATTATTTATTATTATCATTTCAATGCATAACATACATAGATCCATAACGGTTTTTTTTAAATTAAATCACATTATGTGATAACAAGTGATAAGATTTTATTTAGTTAATAAAATAAATTCTAAACATTTCTTTTCTTTTTTTTTTTTTAAAAAAAAAAACAAAAAAATTTACGTTGCATTAAATAACGTTTTTTTGCTTTTTTTCTAGAACAATTAGAAGTATAATTTTCTTTCTTTCTTGCTTTTTTTTTATTTTAACGTTTTTGAAATAAATTAACAAGGCTTTTGAGCTTTCAGCCACATTTTTTTTTTATTTTCTGGTAAATAACTTTATTTATTGTTGTAAAAGATTATTATTATTATGTAATTGCAACAGTAGAAGTAGAAGAAAAAGAAACAGAACCTAAAAAAAAAAAAATTTATAATTAATAATATTTAAGATAAAAATCAATGATTGATTGTCTTATTTATAATTATTAAAAAGTAAAAAAACAAACAGATAACAAACAAAAAGGTAGAAAACAAACAAACAAACAAAATTTAATATTAAAAAGGAGAGACCAAAATCTTTAAATAATTGGATATTAATAATTATAATTAAAAAAATAGTTTCTTAAAACGTTTTTTTTTTTTTTTTCTGAGGTTGGTACCATCGGTCAAATATCTCGAATTTGAATCGAATACATTTGGAACGTTTCGAACGTATTTAAATTGATGGGGAATATTTTGATTGAAATATTTTTTTGTTTAGTTTTGAATAAAAAAAAAAAAAAAAAAAAACATTTGTGAAAAGAAAATAAATAATTTTTAAAATTTAGTAAATTGATAAAAAAAAAAATATATATATATATTTTTCAACAGGTGCTTTGTAAAAAAGTTTTACGGGAAACATAAAAAAGTTCAAAAAGATCAGACCCCCTTCAATTTCTTTAAATCACGCTTTTTAAAAAAAAAAAAAAAAAACGGGAAAAACGGGAAAAAAAACGTTAAAAATCAATTTCGAATCAAATGAAAATGAAAAAAAAAAAAAAAATTTTGAAATCTCGTGTAATGTTAATATAATAATAGGAAAACAATCGAAAAACCGTTAAATTTTTTTTTTTTGTGTGAGTGTTTCAATTTAAAAAGTTTCGAATAAAACAATAAAATATAATAATAATAATACGACTTATTGTTTAATTTAAATTACAAATAATAATAATAATAATAATAATAATAATAATGATAAATGTTTTTGTGTTCTTTTAAATAATAATAAAAAAATGGTTAAGTACGTATATATATATAAGGGCGCGTTAACTAAATGTTATTTAAAAAAAAAAAAAAAAAGATGGCTTCCATGATTATTTATATAGTAAAGTTAAACATAACTGATTTAAATTTACAAAAAAAAAAAAAAGATAAAATTATGTATATTTTTTTACATAATTCATTTCGAATAGGTTTTACAACAATATTATTTCAAGAACTTTTTATATACTACACCATAAAAATTATTATTTAAAAAAAAAAAAAAAATAGAACGTGACTCTAATCCAGGTTTATAAAAAAAAGGAAGGTTTCGTTATAATTTATTGTTTTAATTATTATTTATGTTATTATTGAATACGTGCCCGGGTGGGGATGTCCGTGGCTTTTTTCTGTCTATTTTTTTTCAATTATGAATTAACGGTTTTTTTTATTTATTCGTATAAGTGTTAACGAGTGACGTCATCATTCGTATTTATGTACAAGAGGCCATTTTTTTTTTTCTTTTTTGATATCGGTTGGTAATGATAAATAACGAGAAAGAAAAAAAAAATGCATCGAATTTGAAATTTTTTTTTTTTTTTAAATCAAAAGAAATGAGAGAAATAACGAAATTTTCAAAATAGAGAAAAAGAGAGAGAGAGAGAAAAGAGAGAGAGAGAGAGAGAGAGAGAGAGAGAAAGGAAACGGGAAAAAGAATTCCTAAGGAAAACACAGACATGTAATCAAGAAGAACCTGATCGTGACGTGAATTTCCTGTTGGATTAACCAAATTATAATCATTATTATTCTTTTCATTATTTGTTTAACGTACCTTACCCTCCCTCCTTACCCCTCCTTACCCCACCTCTCTTTCAACCCTTCGACTTATTATTATTATTAATCTTTTTTTCTGTCTCTCTCTCTCCTTTTCTTTGATACCCATATTTTTTTTTTTTTTTTTTTATTTAAATTTAATTATGGCGCGAATGATGATTTAAATAAATAATATTTTATATTATTAAATTTTTATTGATAATATACACACGTTATCAAGTTTAAATATTATTATTATTATTATATTAAAAGGGTCAAAAAAAAGTCAATTTTTATTATTCATTTTTACATTTTAAACATCGTATATGTGAATTTTATTTAAAATCATTCAGGTTAACTGATTCTTTACATTATTATTATTATTATTATTATTATTATTATTATTATTAAAAAAAAGGAAAGAAAGAAAGAAATAGAAAGAGAGAAAGAAAAAAAAAAACGTTCTCGCCGTAATGAAAAAAAAAAAAAAGGGAAAAATAGGGAAAAATAGGGAGAGGAATTGGTTGTCTAAAATATTTTTTATTACTTTTCAATATAACGTGTAGAAAATTATTATTATTATTATTATTATTATTATTCCAGGTGGTGGATTGTTGTTGTTGTTATTTAAAAAAAATTTTTTTTTTTTATAATTAATTAAATTTATTTAAAAAAAAAAAAAATTCCCTTTAAATGTGATCACGTGTATTCATCCCGGGATTTATTATCAGGACTTTTAAGGTTAATAATTAACGCATACAATCTCTCCCTATTATTATTATTATTATTATTAATCTTTTTTAATATGCACAACAATAAACTAACCTTCTTTTGTATATAAAAAAAAAAATATTTAGTTTAATTTAATTTTTATAATTATAATACTATGATGACGTCATAACTGTTTATGTATATACAGGATAGGATAGGGAATATTTAGTGACGTACATATGACGAAATTATTATAATTCATATAAAATAATTTAAATCTTTACGAAAGTAACATTTTATTATATATATATCGGCGGCGGTTATTTAAAATTTTTAGTCAAAAAGGCAAAAATCTTTTTTTAATCAAAAGAAGAGTTTAAAATTAAACATGGGAAATTGGGGAATCTCAAAGAATGTTTGCTTAAATATTGTTGTTGAGAGAGAGAAAGAGAGAGAGAGAGAATTTCCTTTTGGTTGGGATATTGAAATCCAGTTTTCCTTTGTTGTTTTTGTTGTTCTCTTCTTTATTGGCTGCTGTTGTGGATCTCTTATCTTCATCTAATATTACCTTCATTTACATGCAATCAAGTTTCCTTCATTTATTTTTTTACCTTTTTTTTTCCTTTTTTTTCTTCCTTTTCTTTCCTTTTATATTCCTTAGTCTTTTTTTTCCAATTTCAGTATCAGTAATGAAAAATATAATTTTTATATATATATATATATATATTATATAAAAAAAAATTTTCTTTTCTTTGATATGAAAAATAAATAAATAAAAAAAAAAATGTTTTCGGTATTAAAGAATAATAATAATAATAATGTTTCGTTTTTTTTTTTGACAAAGTAATAAAAAATAAATTTTTTTTTTTTTTTTTTACGTAAAATTTTGAAAAAATTACTTTTTATTCTTACAAAAAAAAAAAATTGTTGTTGTTGTGACGTAAAAATTAATTATTATTATTATTATTATTATTATTATTATTATTATTATTATTATTATTATTATTATTATTATTATAAAAACACGTTTTTAACGTTAAAATTTTATCATGTATATTATTATTATTATTATGAGTATGTGGGACGTTTTTTTAAACCATTTATTAAAAACGTTTAAGAGAATAAATTTAAAATTTTTTTTTTTTTGGCGGGAGAATGAGGGAAGGTTAGGGGTGAGAGGGTAGGGGTCAAAGGTTATTTTTTAAAGGGGTAAGGGGAGTATTTTTTTCTTTCATTGTGAATGAATGAATTTTCTAAAAAAAAAAAAAATTAGAAGGAAAAGTAAATAAAAATTATTTGTTTTTTTTTTTTTTTTTAATTCTTTTCCTTGAAAATTAAGAGCTGAAACATAAAGAATAGGTTTTTCTTTTTTTTTTGACCATTTCTTTAAAGAAAAACCATGTTTACTACAAATTGCTCTTGGGTGAACATTTTAAAAAGAAAGAAAAAAAAGTAAAAAAAAAAAAAAAAAGAAAAAGGTTTTACTCTTGAAGAAGATAAATGAAAATAAGTAGCGAGATCAAAAGGTGTGAAAAACAAATTGACCTACAGATACATTTATTTGACCTTTTTTTTACCTCCCACCCCCTCCCCCTCCCCCTTCTTCATCTTCATCTTCTTCTTCTTCTTCTTCTTCAACGGAGTCCTTAAAGTGTGAAGCGTGAAAAAATTCAAACCTTCTTTAAAATAAAAACCTACAACCAAACAAAGTCTTCTCGAACTAATAAACTCGTTACATGGCCTCTCTCCTTAATAATTATCAATTATTATTATTATTATTATTATTTACATTTAAATGATAAGGAGGAGAGCGGGGGAGGGGAGGGGATGATAAGAAATGAGAAAATCTCAAAATCATAAATTAATTTTTATTAGGTAATTAAATTTACCGGGTAATAAATTTTTTCTTTTTGTTTACATTTTACTCTAAAGCAGAAGAAAAAATATCATTAATAAATATTTACCTTTAGTTATTATTTGCTTTAACACATAAATAAAAAAAAAAAAAATGAGTTTTTATACTGTGGACGTTGTTTAAAAAAAAAAAAAAAAAAAAAACAAAAAGAAAATTGGAAAATGTTTTTTTAGTCAAAAAAAAAAAAAAAAGGTAAAAGAAAAAAGTGAGTGAGAGAGAGAGAGAGAGAGAGAGAGAGAGAAAGGGAAAAAGAAGGGGAAGAAAAAAACAAAAATGAAAAAAATTTTTTTTTTTTTGTAGGAGGTTTGCATGATAGCGTCGAGGGAAAGAGAGAGAGAGAGAGAGAGAGAGAGAGAGAGAGAAAATTTTTTTTTTT